TTTTAGTCTTTATTCCTTTTTAATATGTAAATTTAGGCTATTAATTATCATTTATGCATGGATTTCATTGCATCCATAATTATTTATTGATTTTTTTTTCTTTTAAAATTACTTTTCATTTTTTATTTACTGAAACATAGTTGATTGCACATACCTGTGGGGTACAGCATTGAATATCCATACCTGTGTGCAATATGTGATGCTCAAATCAGGATCATTAGTATATTCAACATTACACAATGTCATTATTTTTTGTGGCCCTTTACCAATTCTCCATAACTTTTAAAAATATTTCTTATTGAGGTGAAATTCACATAACATAAAATTAACTCTGAAGGTGAATAATTCATTGTCATTTTGTACATTTCCCATGTTGTTCAACCACTACCTCTAGCTCCAAAACATCTTCATCACCCCAGAAGGAAACCACGTGGCCATTAAGCAATTACTCCCCCGTTTCCCTGTCCTCCCACTCCCTGGTGACACCAATCCTCTCATTATCTTTATGGATTTGCCTATTCTGGAATATGAGCCCTGTACTTTTTTTTTTAAGTAGAATAAAAATAAATTTAATAGGTTTTATTTTTATGATTTAGAAATTGCTTTCTTCAAAGCAAGAAATCAGAATGTACATTAGCATACACCATATTTCATACCAGTGTTTTAGTAATTTTGATATTATATTTTGTATTGTATGGGTAGTGGTTCATATTGAAGTATAGAAAAAACAAGTTATAGCAAGAAAAGTGATGTGTGTATAGAAGGAGATGAATCATTTGAGAGTCTTGTTAATTGGATAGTTGCTGCCTTGGGGTTATCATCTTAGCCCAACATTTTTCTCATAGTTATGAAGTCTGTCTAAAAAAAAAAAAAACAACAGAGCTAAGAAACAGCTGATACTACAGGTAAGCATTTTACACACAGGTGCTTCTCTGGAGTTACGATGTTGACTTCAGTATTAGTATTTTAAAACATTTTAGAGATGATTTGGCAAGGAACTGGCAGGCAAATTAAGCCCAGTCAAGGAGATTGGAGGAAGAGGAACAGGTCTGTAAATTATCCTGTAGGTTATGGCCAATCTTCTTCAGTCTGCTGGAATTACAAAATACCTATTCTTGCTTTTTTTTTTTTTTTCCTTTTTGTCTTTTTTCGTGACCGGCAACGGATCGCAACCCTCAGTGTCGCGCCCATACTGGACCAGGACCGGCCACGGGATCGCAACCCTCGGTGCTGCTCCCGCCCCTCGCTCAGCCAGTGAGGAGGTCTGCATGCGGGATCTGAACCCTCGGCGGGAGGGTCACCGCGCTTCTCAAGCGGCGCACTACAGCAGTGCGCCGCTGGGCCGGCCCTATTCTTGCTTTTTTACTTTTTAGTTTGAACTCCACTTTTTGTCGAAGGTCACACTCTCCATTAGGATTTGCACAGGATGACAACTTCCCTCTTCCTGGGGATGTTGAGAAGCGCCTCTGGGATTGGGAAGCTGCTCTAATGAGGCTACGCTTTCTTCCCACAGTTAGGAGTGTAGACCGAAGGGGCCGTTTGGCAGGTAGGACTCAACCTGCAGGGGCTGGGAGTCCAGGTGGTGCCCTGCAGAAAGGCACAGTCCACTCTGGGGGCCATACTGTGGCTGGGGAGAAATGACAATCCTTACTAATGAGTTTTACACTTTCATGTGCTTTCCTGGTGCTGTTTAATGTTCTTTCTTTTCAAGTTGAGGGACTCCCTTTAGCATTTCTTGAAAGGCAGGTCTAATGGAGATGAACTCCCTCAGTTCTTGTTTCCTGGGAAGGTCTTTATGTCTCCTTCATTTTTGAAGGACAGTTATGCTGGATGTAGTATTTCTGGTTGGCAGTTTTTTTTTCTTTCAGCATTTTGAATATATCAGTCTATTCCCTTCTGGCCTGCAAGGTTTCTGTTGAGCAATCTGCTGATAGTCTTATACCCCATAAGTTTTTAGATATTTTATTTTTATCATCAATGAATTCAAATATTTTATAACTTCTCTTATGATTTTTTCTTTGACCTCTGGGTTATTTAGAAGTGTATTTCTCTTAATTTCTGAGTATCTCGATATTTTGTAGTTATCTTTTTTGATATCAATTTATTGTTTAATTGCACTGTGGTCTGAGAACTTTAAAACATGTAAAGACTTGTTTAGTTCAGCATAGGGTCAAATTTGTAAATATTCTGTTTGTTTGTTTTTGGTAACTGGCCAGTATGGTGATCCAAACTGTAAATATTGTGATGTATACTTGAAAGAATATGTGTGTATTCTGTAGATGTTAGATCAATATACGATATATGTCAATTAGTTCAAATGTGTTTATCATCATCTTTCAGATGTTTTACATCTTTATTGATTTTTGTTTGCTTTTGCTATCAGCTATTGAAATGTATGAAAATTTTCCATTATAGCTGTGAATTTGTTTATTTTTCCTTATTATTCTTTTAATTTTGTTTATATATTTGGCATCTATACCTTTAGCTTCTGTAGATATGACATATACATCCATGGTAAATTAAAATTTTTATCATCATGAGATGTCCCTCTTTATCTCTAATAATGCTTCTTGCCTTAAATTCTCATTTTTCTGATATTAGCAGAGCTATAGCTGTTTCCTTTTGGTTAGGGTTTACATGTTATATCTATTTCCATTGTTTTTCTTTAATGTTTTTCAATGCCTTTTTTTATATGATTGTCTTACACATAGCACATAACTGCTTTATTTAAAATCCAGTCCAGCAATCTTTGTCTTTTAATTTAGAGTATTTCAGAGACTCCAATTTTATGTTAGACCATTTTGCTATATCTCTTTTGTCTCTTCCTGTCTTTCATGTTTCTCATTCTTTTTTTTTCCTCTAAGCTTAATTTTCGAACATTTTTTCAGTTAACTAATTTTCTATTTAACCGTGTCTAATCTGCTATTCAAAAATCCATTAAATTCTTAATTTTAATTATTGCATTTTTTAGTTCTAGAATTTAGTCTTAGTTTTTTTCCCTATAGTTTCCACTTCTCTGTCAAAATTCTCAGTCTTGTCTTTTATCTTTTTGAACATATT